AAGTTATATTGAACCATCGATTAATTTAAATTTGAGTAAGGTAGAACCAAAGAAACTCACAAATTTTAATAAAACTACAATTTCAAAAGTTAAAATCAAAATTTTTAATTAAACTAAAAAAATTCTCTACCAATTCATTTACCCACTCATGGTTCAACTGTCCTTTATTATTATGGAACAAATATATGAAATCGAAGGATGAGCTCTACTTAAGATTTTATTCCAAAAAAAAAAAATTTTTGTTGACGTAAGCAGTTACGAAATCGTACAAAAGAATAGTAGTATTCCAGAAATGAAAAGGCTAAGGCCAATCCTGGAACATCAAGTCTCCAAGGACCCCAACTTGCATTCACAGGACATTTTGCTGGTTCTACTACATCGATCCAATGCCTAGTCTTTATTTATTTATTTATTTACAATTTTCCATAATCAGTTTTTTTAATTTTGTTGCAGAACGAAGTCCAAGGGTGAGTATACCGAAAAGATGAAAGATTCTTAGACCTAACGAAAGTATAAAAAAAATTTGTTAATTCGTTATTCCTTTTGCATCGAGGTCGTTGTAGTATAGTGGTGAGTATTCCCGCCTGTCACGCGGGCGACCCGGGTTCGATCCCCGGCAACGGCGTGTTGATTTTAATTTTGCAGATTATAGGCACAGAGCTTTGGGCCTCGAACCCAGAATTGCGTAACAGAGAGAGATCAGGTTTCTTTAGGCCCAAATAGTGTAGTCATTGACTTAGACCTCACCCGAATCTGAAGAATTATGGTGTTTTTTTTTTTTTTTTCTCCATCTATTTCCATTTACACTAGATTGTTCTCGCAAAAATATCTATTAATTGTTTGCCTCAAGTTACATCATTTTGGATCAACTTTTTTGTTCAAAGTTAATTATTTTTAATTATACAAAAACAAAGAGAGAAAAAGTTGTCCTCCCTTGATTCAATTTAATGTTTCAAATATTTATTAATTAAAACACTCCTTGAAAGTAGAATTAAGATAATGTAAACGAACTATAAATTCCCAAATCCAAACTCTAGTGTAGAAGTGCCCCCAATTTTTTTAAATGCCAATACAAGTGAGAGGGCTCTCCCTGTGAATTTTTTAACTGATGGATCCAATTAGGCTATGGAGTTTCACAAAACCCTAGCTTGATTGGTAGGCACTCTATTATTGTTCGTGTAATCATTCTTTTCTTCTTGTTGAATGGAATACCTCCACAATCCCAGCTTTTAGTTGTTCAATCTCACAAGATTTCGACATTTCAAATACATCCAGAATGAAATGGCAGTGTTGTTTACCTGCACTAAAGAGAACATGAAAACCCACATTCTAGTGCCAATTCCAGTGCCATTAGTGCGCGCGGTAGGTGTAATCACCTCCTCTTGCCCCGAATTTCACTATAAAATCCTCCCATCATGTTGCATTATTCAAATATCAGTAGAGGGTTCTCCTTTTCTTGCACTGTAAGCAACAGAGATATGAAGGTTCAATTGAAATTTATCTGCCTTCTGGGACTGGTGGCCATTTGGGGACTGGAAAGGGTTGATGCTGCAGGGGAATGCGGAAAAACTTCTGCGGATGAGGTGGAAATGAAGTTGGCTTCTTGCGCAGAGGCTGCACAGGATGAGAACGCTGCAGTCCCTGCTAGCTGTTGCACACAAGTGAAGAGTGTAGGACAGAACCCAAGCTGCCTGTGCGCTATTGTGCTTTCCGACACTGCTAAAGCATCAGGAATCAAGCCTGAGGTCGCCCTGACTATCCCTAAGCGCTGCAACATTGCTAACCGTCCGGTGGGGTACAAATGTGGACGTAAGTCTCCATTTTCATTGATTAATTGTAAAATCTAATGCCTTCACCATTTCCTTAAACCCAAAGATTTTTACTAATATAAATTATTTGCTTGTTTAATTTTGCAGCATATACGCTTCCCTGAAGAGGAAACTGTGGACTCATGATATGAAAAATGCCAGTAACAACATCACTAGTTGTATTAGTTACTCCGATTAAGCTAGCTTTACCTTAAAATAAATGCTAGCATCTTTGCATGTATGTTTTTATCATGAATAAAATGTTTTCTACTCTGTGATGGGGTCTAAATTCCCCTCTTAATCTAAGAAATTCGACATCCAAACGCTTCTAAACCCAGATTAGTGGAATATGTATATCTTACAAAAGCTAACATGAAATCCAGATTGGGACAAGCATTCATCCTGTAACATTAAGAATCACAATCCAACTTAGGAAGGAAGAAACGTTAACTGCAGAATGTTTGTTATCTTTAACTACCAACGTCCATTGTAAAGCTAGCATCGCTCTACCAGTTTGAGGATAAAGACTACTTTAATCTGTCGGTTGCGATTTGGGATAAGAAAATGACAGTTAGGAGGGAAAAACTATAAGATAATTGTGCCTTTCTGGGCCACACCCATTGAAACTTTCATGGTGCGTGTCACCTGTTCCTGAGGAAATATGAACATTGAGATAGGATGGAATTAGTATGTATCAGATTCAGTGGTAGTAGCATCAATCATCCAAAGCAAGAAAAAGAACAAGTGATTTTGCAAATGGGGATATGGAATATGGAAAGTAAAGAAGAAAATAGCCGCATGGTCAACCTTTTACTACTGTGGCCCTCCACTAAGATTCAGATAAGAGAGATTGAGATCAGGAGAAGAATCTATGATCTATCCACGAGATGAATATCAACCAACAAACGGATAGAACTGAATAAAACACAGAAGTTTCCGTAACCGTAACCAAACCAAGGCTTTTTAAGAAGGAATTGTGGCCATGGAAGTCCATGGTTAAGGCAGAATTCATTAATGAAATGCCAGGAAGTTAAAAAAATTAGAACAGGTTTAAGATCTCAAAATGACTATATGCATCCTTAGGTTACAGGTAAAACAGAGAGAAACCAAAAAGAGAATTCTAAACAATGGATATATGTGACACTTTAAGAAGGTGAGTTCGTATTAAAACTCCAAAATCCAAACCATAGGTGAATAAGTCACTACAGAAAACATTCTTTACATGAAGATGACTGCATTTCGTCGTCCTTTGCATTGTAAAGAAGGAAAAGCAAATAAAAGATTCTGTTGATCAGCGGGAGAAAGCAATAAAGACCAGCTGACTGCAATGGTCTTATCTCCCTCATGACAAAAGATAGATTTAACGGCCTATCTTCCTATTTACCTGAAAGCATAGGGTTGAATACAATCAAACTTTAAATGGACAAAGAAAAGGAAGATTGTAAGAAGAAAAATCGTGCAGTTAGCTTTTCATCATTCTTCCATATTTGATTATTCTTCCCAACTTTCCAATGACAAGAACAACAAATGATCCATGAGAAACTACCCTTGACTGTACTGCTCATTTAGGTTTCAAAGATCTCAAATCAGAAGTGACCATTAAAAATGAGGAACAGAAATTACCTTATTATTACTATATGCCTTCGCAGGAGCACCTTAGTAATAGAGAGACCCTGCAGAGAAAATAATAATAATGACAGAGATTTTAACATTACAGTGCATAGTTTGTCCTATTGTGCCTGTCAATATACATGTCGCACGATCGTGCAATAGTTATAGATGTTGGATAATCATGTGAAATTGTATAATACCTTGCCACCAGTTTCCTCTTGATGCACTCTCTGAATCATCTTCTCCACCCTCCATGTACTAAAAAGTTCAAAAAATAGTTTAGGGGACTCCTAAATTATTAGACAATTTATTTATCAAAAAGAACAAAGAACAGGTCATTCTAGGTTTTGTGCAGACAGAATATGTTCTTCTGGCCGGAATTTAAACCAAGACTTGATGCACTCACCACAGAGTTTACTCCAGAGGCCTGAGCACTTTGGGGTTCAGAGACTATATCCGGGCCACCATAGTAGATTGAGGAGCTTAGATGACATGGACCATATGGTTCTACTCTTTGGGCGTTCTGACCTTCACTTTCGCGTCCCTTGGAGGTATGACCTGAAACCAGAAGGTTGAAAGAGATCTAAAACCGAGAGTTCTTGCCCTAGCATGCTAGCTGAATTGATACTCACGGAAGAAACTACACAAAAACTAGAAGCTAACGAAAGATCCACTTCAAGCGGCATTACCAACATGGCAGAGCTCTTATTACAAAATAAACTCCAACAAAAAAGGGAAAATTAGTTAAGAACATCCACTCAAAATTTTGTCTTGCAAAGTACTAATAAAGCAAATCCGAAGTGAAAAAATAGAATCATGTGAAAGCTACTACAAATACACCTACCATAGACTCCTGGCTTTGTGTTCCAGGCCTCGTTTGGTCGATACTGCTTGTTAGCCATTGAATCAGGAGGACGCAGAGACTCCCTTCCTAACACCTAAACAAACACAAAAATCAATGGAGGCTACTCAAGCTCTAAATAGCATAAAACAGTCTGTAAGCTCTTATTATCCCTCTTGGTTTCCCAATTTTGCATAAACACTCCATTATCCATTCCCGTAAAGCTCAAGAAAGCAATTCAGAGGTAGCTTCCAAATCAAAAGAGTGACATGTAAACAGCGATCTCAAGTCACCCAACAAGAAATTTCAAAAAAGATTCAACCTTTAAACTCCATTCAACTTAAACCGAAACCGAAACCAAAAACCCATGTCTAGAATTGAAATCGAAGAAAAAAAAAGGGCAACAGAATTGATCAAAATCATAAAGATTCAAAACGACAACATGAAAATAGTAAAACATACCTTAGAATCACGAGGAGCAAAAATTGAAGCGAAAATTCCAGTTGAAGACGAAGGTGAGTCCTTTGAACCAAAGAGCTCCGAAGCTAGAGAAGACGAAGATGATCCGACTTCTTTCCTCCTTTCCATTATATCCCCAATTCCCCTGTTTCTCTCCCTCTCAGTCTGTAACAATTTCTCCAAGCAGACACGCCAAGAAAATTGAGATTGTATCCAAACAATCACAGTCAAAGAACAAGAGAAGAAAAACGAAAACAGAAACACAACAAGAAGGAAGAGAAAGAGAGAGGAAGGCACGTGAAGATTGCCGCTCGTTCAAGTATGGAAGAAACACAAACCAACGAGGTACTCGTCTTTTTTATATTGTAAAAAAGAAGAAATGAAGAGAAGACAGTGGGCAGTGAGGGGCAGGGTGGTTTGCTTGGGTTCTTGAAGTTATCGCCAACGATCTGTCACATAATCGTATGTTTTCCGATTCTGTTTTTCTAATATTGTACTTGTCTGAAATACCACACAGATGAACAACACGTGGAACAAATCAACTGTACAATTGTGCTCAAAGATTCAAGTTCTAAGCCTTTTTGCTGCCACGAGTGCTTTAGTGGATAGTAACGACCCTAACCATCCACCTGTTTTCCTTTGCGGTCTGTTTCTCAAACCCATCCTTGACGTTTCCTTTGTTGTTTATGTTGTTTCACACATCAAATGGTATGCTTTTTTACCGAATTGAAAAGAATTAGTTTCAAAATGAGTATAAATTGATGCAATAAGAAATTAGCTTTTAAATGTATATAAGTTGGTGTCCGTTACAGTTCAATGACATTTGATCATAAGTTAAAGTTATTTATTTTTTATGGACGATATGTTCAAATTTTACTGAACTCATTTTATTATTTTCTTATATTATACCTATAAATAACGTTAAAACTATTCAAAAAAATAAATGGTGTCATAGCACTTACCACGAAACAAATGAATAAAAGAAGAAAAAATTATGTTTGGAACAACATTTAGACAATGAATGTTTAAAGCGTAAAAGTATTTGAATTAATTATTTTAATATAATAAATATTTAATAATTTTTAATTAAAAATATTTAATCCATTCTATAAAAGTAGCGGTAGCTGTTTTCCCTGATGTTACATGAAGACTGAAGCATGTAAAATTTTGTAATGATGGTAATGGGCATTGGGGTTAATTGTGTATTTTTTTAATATATTAAAATTATTTATATATATTAATTTAATATATATATATATATGAAAGTCGAATACATTATTCACAAAAATTAAATAATTATAACTTAAGATTCATACCGGTTAATCGAAACGAATTGTTCGATAGGAAGTTAGGGTCCACTCCACATGGCATGTAAGGCTAGCTAAGTGGCGAAGTGACAGGTGACAAGTAAAGATCCATGTGGACTCGCCACGCCGCATGGCATCCATCATCTCTGTATCGTCACTTTCGCCACATGGTGTGTCCTTCCACCGTCTCTGGCAGGCCCATGGAAAATCCAACTCTGGAAATTATTCGCTCATGGTATTATTTTTCTCGTTTTGGTAAAATATTTTTACTGAGTCATTTCTTTTCCGAAAAGTACAATATTTCTGATGAGGTGAATCGTGTCAATTTGTGCTAGTTATGGGAAATTGATAAAAGTAAAGGGATCGTGGGTGGTGCCATGGTTTTGACTTATATAAATCTATGCTGATGTTATGTAAAAATATTATTATATAATCAGGTCTACTTTAATTGTTGTAAAAATTATATATATGAGTTTTAGTATAATATTTATATCAAATTTAAAATTAATTGATAATAAATAAAATTATTTATTTATATTTAATTTACATAATTTTTTCCCTTTACATATTCAATATAATATTTTCTCATTTAACATACTTCATCATGTACATACTCAATATTGATGTCACCTTCTATTATATAAGTTAATACAGTCCTTACATACAAGTTTGGATTTTATTACATATATAATGTGAGATTTTTTTATTAAATATTTATTTTAAATAGTTTAAAATTAGTTTATAAATTAAAATTTTAAAATATTTTATTTGATTATAAACTAATAAATTTAAATAAATTAAACATAATTATAATTTTTAATTGTGACCTTAGTAATTTTACCATGTGATCAACATGGCCTGGTGTGAGACATGAGGTTTCGATTAATTTGTTCATCTGGGTCCAGGGCCAATAGAAAGGTTTGGGTCCTTTCGGAAGGGATCGTGTGGAGGAGAATGTAACACTCAGTGGATGTTTGGTTGGGGTAAATTTCTATCCTAAAATTTATTTAAAAAAATTCCTTTTAAATATTATTTATATATTTATATATATTAATATTATAATAAAAATTAAAAGTAATATTTTTATTTTTTATATAATTTTCAACCTGTCACATTTTTAAAAAAATGTTCCTCTCAAAATTTTCCATATAAAATTTATTTAACAAAATTTTTATAAATATTTTTATACCAATTCTTATCAAATATAAAAATATTAATAATTAATAAAATTTTATTATAAAATTTAATAACTTTTTCGTATAATATTTTTAAACTTTTTCAACAATGCCTTTATAACCAATTTTCCAACACAAACTTTATTAATAAAGTTATCTCTTTAATCAGCCAGGCCCCCAGAGGCCCTGGCCATTGGATATCAGAGGAGTACAATCGCAAAACGGCAAAAAACAATGAGTCAGAAAAGAACGAGAGAAAAACCGAAAGTGGACACGTCAAGAACATGACAACGGTGTCCTTATAACATTCGGCACCTCCCAACCGACTTTCCAAGGCCGACATCAAATTAATACCGATAATGATGTGATAATAAAAAAATAGAGACGCCCTTTTAATTTAGTTGCCGAATTAGCACCTGGTCCTTGCGGCCTAGTGACAATAGTCATTTCGGTGCATTCTCCTTTTCTCGGACTGAGTTTGAAACCCGCCCATTACAAATATGTTAAAAAAAAAAAAAAATTTTGTTGCCGCATTAGAGAGAAAAATATAGTAATTATAACGAGAATAAAAATGAAAATGAAAATAAAAATAAAAATTTATAATTAATAATGTAATATAAATTATATTAATAAATTAATAAATACTATAATATTATAAATTTAAAAAATAAAAAATTAATTATTAAATAAGATATAATTTATTTTTTAATATTTCAAATTACGTAATTTATTTTACATTATTAATATTAGATTTTAGTCTTGAATTTTGATTTTATTTATCATTATTTAAAAAACTAATTTAGTTGTTTTTAATTTTAGAAGGGTTTTTGTTGTTTTAACTTATGTATTAGATCAATTTTTTTATTTAAAACACACATTAAGGATATATTTTTATTATTGATTTGTATAAAAAAAAGACAAATTACTTATCTAAATTATAGATTCAGATAAATAATTAATTATTTAACAACTAATATTAATATATATTAACTTTTAGATAAAAAAATTAAAGTGACAAATGAATTTTTAACATTTAATAATAGTAATTATTAAATAATAGATAATTTATTTCAATTAACAATTTAAAGCAACAATTTGTTGTTGCTTTTGTTGAGGAATAGATCTACTCTTATACCTTATTTGATGGATAAATTTGAGCGTTTGATTTTTTTTTTTTAAGTATTAAATTTTTATATTTACCTTTAGTAGGACTTAGTTATTATAATAAAAAAATTAAAAATAATTATGAAATTGTAAAGTTGGAAAGAGAAATTTTAATATCTTATTAAAAAAATAACAATTAAATTAAAATGCTTATTTTAGAAAGAAAGAAAAAAAAAACTTGCTTTAGAAAAATGTGATAACTAAAATAAGACAAAACGAGTGTAAATTAATACACGTGTTTTGTTGGGTTAACGAAAAAGGCAAGTGAAAAAACAGCATGTGATCCTTTCCTCTTTTTTTCATGTGTACTTGGATCTGATTTGATTTGATTTGATTTTTCTTTATTTATATTTATATTTTTTTTTTACCTTGTTCTTATATTTGATTGCTTGCTTTATTTCGTTTCGTTGAAACTTTCTTTACTGAAAATATGATATTGGATTGCGTCTTTTAGAACAAGGGTGATTCTCCCCGGCCTAATTTCCACAGGCTTCTTTACTTCTTACGTGGTTTGATGAACTTTATACATTAATATTATAGGTATAATATTATATAATTTTATAATTTTATAATTTTATAAAATATTAAATAAATATAATATATATTTTAAATAGATAATATTATAAATAATTTTTTAAATAAAATTTAATTATATAATTATAAATCATATTATAAATTTATAATATTATAGTTATAATATTTTTATATAATTAAATAATTATATAAAAATTAAATTTAAAATTTTTAATATATTTAATAATAAATTATATAACAATATATAATGTTTATTTTTACTAAATAGTATATTCTTCTACTATCTTAAAATTTAACTTTAAAATATAAAATTTTTATGTAATCCCCCATGTGATCCAGTAGTAGTCATGCTCATTGGCCAACATGTAGAATGTAAGCTAATAATAAGTTTGACTTTCTCAAAAAACAAATGCTAACTAATTTAACTTAAAATTTCTTACTGTAAAAAAAAATGTATATATATATATAATTTTTATTAATTGGGACGTGCTTAGCTAGGGGCAAATTTGGAACTCGCTTTTTTTTTTTCCAATTTTTCTTTTTGAATTTTCTAGTTATTGTAATATTTAACGATGTTCCATTAGAACTTTCATTTTTTTTTCTTCCATCCTCGTTTTTTCCGAAAGGCTTATAACAAAAGTTCAAGGATTAAATTTATATATAAATATCATTTTATAAATAATGTTTAGAATTTAAGTTTTAAAATCAGCATCTAAAAAAATTAACTTCTTTAAATGTATTAAGTAGATAAGATCTTGTAAAAATGAATTAACTTTAAAATATATAAAAATTAACTCAAAAATACTCCAGGTAAAAAAAAGTCTTGCGGGCAAGCATCTAACAAAATAAGTTGCAGATAAATTTTAAAATAATTAGAAAATGGGAAATATTGATGGTATTTGGTTTAAAAAAAATGAAGAGAAAGCGAGGGAATCACAATTTTTTTTAACCAATCAAACAAACCAAACAAGTTCTGAAAGTGCGTAGCAAACAAGAAGAGAGCTATGCTGATCAAAGGAAAAAACAAGAAGGGAGCCATGAATCTAATTTTGTGGTAATCCTTGATTATCCTTTTTTTTTTTTTTTTGGGGGCCAACAATCTTTAGTAATCTTGGGTGGGGATTTGAAAAGAATGAAAGAAAGTATCTTGATTTATATGGGCTTTTTTGGCCCAAAAAAATATTTATATGGGCTCTTTATGTAACAGTTCAATATGCTGTTAAATTTTTTTTCCCAAAAAGCTCAATAAGCCCGGATGACTGAGGAACAGCACCAGAGGACAGATTTGACTGCAGCCAGAATCTGGACTGGGGCCCAACTTTAATATGCTGTTAAACTTTTTACAAATTTTGAGAAGCACCAACAGACCCATATTAATCAACAAGAAGAAGAAGAAGAAGAAAAAGAAAAAAGAAAAAAGATAAAAGAAAAAAAAAAAACATTTCTAGTTCAGAAAACATGCAGGTGACGAATTCCGGAGATGAGATCTAAGTCAAAAGGGAAAGAAAATCAATTTCATCCTTGTTATAAATCACTGGGTTATGTGTTAATGAAAATTCT